GGTGGAAGCAAGGAGGAGGAGATGGGCAGTGACTTGGCCACCACTGCCGACCCACCACCGGGAGGCTGTAGAGGTTCAGGGTCGAAACAGCCAGTGAACGGTGGATGCCACCTGATGACATTGATTCCTCCTGGCCAAGGCTACATTCACTCAGGGTGAATGAAAGAGAAGCATCTTCGGATGTATATGTATTATATGCAGCTGAAATAAGGCAATGCAATTGATTTTCTGATTTTAAACATAAATTATGCCGTTCTATTGGCAAATTGTCTCACTTTCTTCCTCAATTAAAGAAATAAATGTTATTCATGTTAAGACAAAATGACTTATTTAGATAAAAAAAAATTTAGCAGTGTATTCAGGACAGTTCAGGAAAGGAAAGTTTACTTCAGTAAGAAGACGGTTCCAAGTTTAACCTGATGATGATTTATTAGAAATAAAGAAAAAGGAGTGGAAAAGGTTGCTTTTCCTTTCATTCATCAGTGATTAAGACACTTATAATATAAAATTATATCAAAATTAAGAACATTTCTTTAGTCATTTTAAAAGGCAAAACAGTTCTGCATAATCATTCATAGAGTTTTAGAAACCAACATTTAATCTGCTCTATAGAGTGTTTTCTGGGGTGGTGCTAAAGGAAAACTGTAAAAGGTTATTTTTCTTTCCACGTTTATTCTAAATCACAGACGCCATGAATCCACAGCGGTTCTGGTGAAGCTGGTGTTAATGAGCCTAACTTTTGTTTTTTTTAACAGCATCTCATTAAAGTAATAAGGTTTTAAATCTGAGCAGGTCTGACAGTTCAGGGCTCAGAGGCCAGCAGAAGCGCTAACACACCGACTCCACCACCATCAGTATCTGTAGGCTTCTAAAACTAAGCATTTTAGCAGGAGATCATCTCACAGTAACTGCAGCCATCTTTTCCCTGGAGAAGCACTTTTTCTGCTTAGTGGATTTAATGAGAGCTGAGCCAGGTAAAAGCCAAGGTCTGCATATTGCCCCAAATTCCATTTCAAGTGTCAGAGAAAAAAACTAGAAAGGGAGACACCTGGTTTTAAGTCTGAGTGCTTCTATAAATACAAAAATAAAACCCAGACAGCCTCAAATGTGCATCACATAATGAGGGCTTCTCTACAGGAGAAAACACATGCATGAATCCATCTGCAAAAATTACTGGTGATTTAGTGAATCCAATTTTTTATAGACTAACACCAGCCAGCAAATTAGCTAAAAGACTTCATATAAAAAACAAACCAAAAGCTAATCTTGCTCGATGGAAGAGACGATGAGTCCAGAACAGGAGGCCAGAAAATCTTTGGAATCAGAGACGATTTAATGATGCGATCAAGTTTATGCAGAATTAAAAACACAAACGCATCATGAAAGGACTCCTGATCCCAGCCCTCAACACGTCCCAGACCAGTAGTTAAGCCACAATCACACCGCACGCGCTCCGGGCGTCAAAGCGTCGGGTTTACGACCGTTTACACACCACGCTAGCACGGTTCCTCGCCTCCTAGTGGTGATCTACAGTACTACTGCTCTCTAGAGGTAAACAAGCAAACCAACATGGCAGCGCCCGTGACATTCAGGAATTTTGTGGAGAGTCAGGCAAAGAAGCAGCCTTTGGTGGATTTACTTGACAGTCAGTTCTTGGAAAGTGGATACGACAAACGATAGTCTAATCAGGGCTTCCAGACGCAGGAAACAATGACGGACTTAAAGGTTCATCAAACTGCTGAGCAGAATCCTCACTGTAATGCTTTTCATTAAAAGGATGCTTTCTCCATTAGATTTAGATGACTGTGAGGAGACGGGTAGCCTGGCTTGGCTCAGAGGCTGCAGCTCCCGTTCACTTCCTTCTGTTTTCTCTGAGGCAGGCAGAAATAATATTTCCCAGGTTTCACAGAATCCATAAGAGAATCAGAATCGGGAAAGTCCTATCAATTCCCAACCCTAGTCATTGTGTCATTTTACTCCAATCTGAGCATCTAGATGGATGGAGATGATAACCGTTTATTGGCAACAGAGCGGGGATGCAGCGCATTGATGCTTTAATCAACCTTTCAATTTCAATTTAGTTTATTTCTATAAGCTCCAATTCACCTCGTTTCAGTAAAAGAAGTTTAGCAGATCCTGCTTTGAAATGTCTAAGATTTTCAAAGCTGTCTTCGGTAAAATGCTTCGAGCAAATGACCAGCTGAGTATCAAAATGATCCATTCCTGTAGAGTCTTTGGATCCTTGGGAAGACTGTGAAAATGTTCCCCTTCCTCCGGTCAGCCTGGAACGCTGCATTTCCTCCTGTGGTTCTGGCTCATTTTCAATAGAGAAACTGCCTGCTTTGTAATTCTTGTAGAAGTAAACCCAACTGTAGCTAAACAG